CCACTTACCCCTGACCCCTTTGAACAGCAGAGCCTCCCCGTGACCCTCCTTCTGCTGCTCCTGGAACAGCTTATAGCAGGATCTGGGGCTGGCCAGGAGCAGCCGGAAGCCCTGGAGGTACAAGTGCTGGGGTCAGAGGTCAGCTTTGCCCTTGGGGCTCCCAAGGAGAGGGGCTCCCCTGTGGATGGGGGGCAGTGTGGACTTGGACCCACTCTGGCTGCCTCCTCCATCCCCCCTCCTGGGGGTGAGGGAAGAACAGAGCCAGGCATGTAAGGCTGGGCCCCCAGACAGAGGGGAGAGCTGTGCTTGGGAACCCGGGAGGGAGGCATGGCTTCCTTCAGGCAGCGCCCAGACTGTACCTTCCTGTCAGGCGCCGGAACGAAGCTCAGGAACTCGTCCACGTGGCCCACATACAGCCAGTCGGAATAGAGTTTCACGGGGGCCTGTACCCGCTGGGCACCAAGGAAGTCCTGCAGGGCCTGGTGCATCTCCCGGCTCTGATTGCTGCCCACGCAGGGTTTGAGTGTTATTGCAGGGGGAAGTTAGGGGCAGCAGAGAGGTCTCTGAGGGACTGGGGCTTGGCAAAGGGATCAGCATTCTCCATCAACTAGGGAAGGGATTAAGGACCCTGGAATGCCTGTATTATATCCCCTAACATTGGAGGAATTTAGGAATTGTCATTCCAGTTTTATGGAGGGGAAACTGAGGCACAGAGCCACTAAGGAAAATAGGACCAGAGGTTAGCCTCAGAAAGTACTGCCTGTTGAGTGAACCTGCGTGCTGCTTTTGTGGGTAAATGTGGGATTTGGAACCTGTCCGACCTGAGTTGGTGACCCCTTGTTAGCTGTGTGGCCTTGGGGATGTTTCTTTATCTCGCTGAGCTTCAGTTTTCTCATACAAGGCCCTTGGTGGTCTAGCCCCTTGCTCCTCCTCTTGCTCAATCTGTTCTAGCCACACTGGCCTGAACACACCAAGCTCGTTCGTGCCTCAGGGCCTTTGCACATGCTCCTTCATCTGCCAGGAACGGTCTGCCCTAGGTCTCCACGCAGCCGTGTCCTTCTTGTCATCAGCCCTCAGCCTGAAAGCCCCTTCCCCAGAGAGGCCCTCCCTGGTCACCCTAACATAGTTCCCACCCCTCCTCTGCCTCTCTTTTTTCTTTTCTTCACTATTTGAAATTCTTTATTTACTTTTCTATTATCTGTCTCCCCCACTAGAATAGTGGCAGGGACTTGTCTGTCACGTTCACGGCCGCATTCTCAGCTCCTCGCACATAGTAGATATTCAGTAAATATTCACTGACTGAAAGAAGTGACAGAGTCGGAATTTGAACTTAGGTCGAATGGGCTCCACAACCTGTATTTCTTATCCTGTATTTTGATTCCTCTCGCCCTCCCTAAAGTTCATTGGTCCCTCTTGGGTTGAAAGAGGGTAGGGGAGGCTTCTGCTTTTCCACAGTATTCCTGGGTCCTGGCGGCCCCTTCCTGTCCCCCCCCTCCTTACCTGGGGTAACTGCTGTTCCCGATGAGAATCCTGCCCAGAGGGTATTCCTT